CTTACTGCACCCCAAGAGTGCTTGATTATCCCTGCCCACCTTCTTTTGCTGTCTCTACCATCCATCCATGCATCCATCCGTCCATCCATCCATCCATCTCAATTATAAATCAAAATCTTCTGCAGGCTTCTCAGATTCCTCCCTCTTCTGGACAAGCCTGGAACGTGTGTGTGTGTGTGTGTGTGTGTGTGTGTGTGTGTGTGTGTAAGGAGTCGCGGGTGGTGAAGGATGCTCTTTTGTATGAGATTCCTCTTCTGTGCATGGTCCCTCGCAGGCCTGAAACATCAGGGACCTTTCTACCCTCTCCTTCAGCCCCCACATCCCATCAATCACCAAGTCCTTTCCAGTCTCCTGGCAAGTGATCTTTGTGTTCATTGGCATTGATGTTCCTCAAGTAATCACTCTTCCTGACTCTTCCTGGACCACGGAAGGTCCTCCTCACCTGACATCCCAGTAGCCACTATCCCATTTCCAATCCACCCTGGACACTGGCACCAAACTTAAATGGAAAAAGACTGTATCTGCTCATTTTTGTGTCCTGGGTATAAAGTACAGCGTCTGGCCTATAGAAAGTGCTTGTGGTAGATTGAAGGTGGCCGCTGATGCTTTGCTGCTCCCACTGAGAGGTGATGTCTAATTCCCCCTCCTTGAGTTTGGACTGGTTGTAGATACTGGCTTAGCCAATAGACTGCAGTAGAGACAATATGGTGGGACTTTCGAGGCAATGACATAGGTCCTGGGGGCTGGGTATGCGGTGGAGGGGATCAATGGGGGAAAAAAAGAGGACATCTGTAATACTTTCAGCCATAAAGATACATTAGAAAAACACTTTCACATAGGATGGACCCAAGCCAAGTGAGAGCAGGCGGTAAGATCCGAAAAGCAGGCTGAAGCCAAACAATGGAGGAGCTTGAATGCCAACTAAGGGCACTAAACTTTATATTTCAGGCAATAGGGAGCCATTGAGAGCTCTGAAGAGGGCAGGCACACCCTTAGAGCGCTACTGCAAAGGAACTGTTTCTTTATTCCACTGTTTTTGAGCATTGTTCTGGTTATCTGTTAGGCCTGGGCCCATCCTGTGTTCCAGTTTGTTTGAGCTGTTTCCCAAGGACACAGATTCTTATCCAACATCATGTCTCTATCTATTCTGCTTTCTCCATCTAAAGGCCCTTTCCTCTCACATCCCCACCGCAGTAGGCTGACATTCACCTTGCTCTTTGCGACTTTAGTCAGATGCCTTTCCTGGCTGCCCAGTCCAGCCGGGAGCCCCCACCATCTGGCCCAGGTTTGTTTATCTCCTCTTTCATCACTTGCCCTGCTCTTCATTTCTTACCTCCTCCATTGCATTATAAACTCCTTGTGTGTGTGTGGGGGGGGGGGGAGTCAGAGGGACACGAGGGAGAGGGGTCCTGGCACATAATGGGGTGTACAGAAATGTTCTGTGTGGCTCCCCAAGCACGGATCTCTACAGAGCTACAGAAAAAGCAGAGGCGGTAGCATCAGCTCCAATTTTGAATCATAACTGTATCACTTACTGTGTGGCTTTGGGTAAGGTGCTTAAACTCTCTGAGCTCCGGCTCCCTTATTTGGAAACTAGAGACCTGGGACGAGAATGGGTGTAAAGGGCCTACCTCAGTGCTCGGCATAACAGGCACCATTGACAGCTGGCTTGTGAATAGAGATAGCAGAACGGTTGATCAACTCCCCGAGATCAGTCGTCATTATGTCAATTACAGAAAGCGCTCTCCCTGGCCAAAATAAGAATAGTAATAATGCAAAGATAAACAAAAGAATAAAGGAAAAGTGAGCTGTGGAGAGGCACAACGGCGACCCCTTAGAGAACCACCACTACATGAATCAGCGTGATCCTCAGCAAATCCCTTGTGAGGTCTCAGTCTTCTCATCTGTAAATTGAGGGGTGGGCACTGGAATCTAAGCTCCCCTCCAGCCCTGACATTCCAAGAGCATTAAAGAAAAAGGATGAATCACTCCTTCAAAATACCAATATGGGCTGGGCCCTCCCCATCCAGCCCAGCTAAGAGCTCTTAATACACAGCCAGCCTCCTCCTGCAGCTGCCACCAAACTTCAACCCTCTTTCCCAGGAGTCTCACCAGCAAGACTGATAATGGACCCCTGGCCTTCCCCATCTCAACAGGGAACCAGATCCCATTCCCAGACTCCCCTCCCCCAGGGGGCTGGCTTTCCGTGGACATTTGGCCTCAGTGTGCTTGTGCATGAAGCGTGGGGCGTGTGGGAAGAGCGGAAGGAAGGAACAAAAGGAAGAGTTACAAACAGAGGGTTGATGAGTGAATTCTTGCAGTCACGGCTGGAGGGCGGGGAAGATGGGCACCTTGCTACTCTCTTCCAGGGATTGTGAAAAGGTTGATGTGTCTGTACCAGTAATAGTCATAAATCTCCATCCCGGGGAGGCATGGTCCCAGCAGCTGCAGACATTCATGGACACAGGCTGGCAAAGCCTCAGAAGACACCCAGGTCCATTTTCCTCCTTACAGGAGATGGGCACTAGGTGACCGCAAAGGACAGTGTTCTGGCCTCTCTGCCCAGAGCTCTCCACTCCTTTCCGTGTGGCTGCTATTATTAGTATTATCAACATTAATAATGATAGAGACGGAACCGGCTGTGCATTAGTCACAGTGTTCGGGAACCAGCACCTCCTTGGCTCTCTCCTGGGACTGCCTGGGTCCTGCCGGGTCCTCTCTCCCCGTCTGGAGTGGTGGCTCCGCTCCTGGCCTTTGAGCCTGTCTGTCCGGTGGTCTGTCTATTGCAGGTCACCTCTGCAGCCGGTCCTCCTAGCTCACACCGGCTCCTGCTCTGAAAGCCGAGAAGCTGGCCGGCTGCGAGCGGGTTTTCCAAGTGGGCAGGGGTGGGGAGGAGGGGCGCGGGCCGGCGGGCGGGCGGAGGGAGGAGGGGGCGTCGCGGAGGGGAAGACCTCGCATTGTAATCCAATGACATTGCCAACGTGGGGGTGGGGGCGCTGGCCTCGGCGCGCTCTCGGAGTTTTGGCTGCCCGCCCAGCTGGGAATAACTCTCTTCGCATAATTCGCGTGTTTACCAGGCATGAAAATTCTTGCTTTCGGCCCCCCCCGCCCCCCCCCCGCCCCGACAAGCCCCCTCCTCCTCCCTCCTCCCCACCACCTCCACCTCTCGCAAGTGAAACTCTGTCTAAAAAAATATTGGCCCGGGGCACAGAAAGTTTTGCATAAATTCATAAGTGATGAATGGCTGATTTTAACGTTATTTGGGTATTTGTCAGACCTTAACAAATATACATGGGGACGGCGGTTCATAAACTTAAACATCTCAATATCCCCTTTCTTCTGGAAATAAATTACGTTTGTTTGCCCGGCTTGGAGTCTTAAGGTAGCCGACATTAGGAATATTTTAAAAGCCATCATCCATCGAGCATGTCTCCCAGGCGCCAGGAAGATTAAATGAAAGAATCATAAGATGGAGGTCTTTAACTTTTAATCCTTTTACAATGAAGCCTCAGATAGTCGCGGGGGCAGGGTGCCCTCTCTGGGGGGAATAATGCCGTTATTCCTCGGCTCTCAGTTAATGAATACCCTAACGTCTGTCCCACGGCTGACGGAGGCAGCGCCGGGGAGGGGGCTCGGGCTCCCGGGCCAGGCTATTGAAATGAGGAGCCACCGAGGCTGCCTCGGGAGGGAAGAAAGC